GTTCCCAAGAGATGGTGTCGATATCCAGGGACTTGAGAGATGCTTTCAGCGTGTCTTTGTATCGCTTCTTTTGTCCCCCGTGCGATCGCTTTCCTTGAGACAGCTCACCATAGAAGAGCTGTTTAGGGATGCGATGGTCTGGCATCCTTACAACGTGGCCTGCCCAGTGCATCTGGGCTTTCATCAACAGAGTGTAAACTGATGATAGGCCTGCTCTGGAGAGGACCTCTGTATCTGGTATCTTATCCTGCCACCGGATCCTCAGAATTCTACGAAGGCAAGTCATGTGGAAGTAATTCAGTTGCCTAACGTGCCTCCTGGATAAGCTACAATAGTAAGCCAAAACATGTTTAACCTAGCTATAATCTTAGTTTATAATGCTTAGTTTTCCATAATGTATACAATGTATACATCCAACCAATATTCCTCAACGCTACAGTACAGATGAACCAGTAATTTCAATGCTCTTCCCAAAGCTGTGCAAACCTTAGCTTGGAGCTCCTGTTATATTTAATCTATCACACACTCTGAAAAATCTGTTCTCCATATTTTTCTTCAAATAGTCCTCCTTCCCAAAAAGCAGCCTTCACTAATAAATGTTTTGCATTAGCATTTGCCTGCCTCCTAAAGCCAGTTTTCATTTAAATAGCTAGAGAATCCTGCAAAAGGACGATTTATTATAAAAAAAAAATTCATTGAATTTTGGCATGATTGTCATTTACATTCTTATTGGTTGGTGTCGGGAGGTTTTTTGGGTCCCTTTGAGTAATTTTTTTACTCCTGGCAACTGCCTGCAGTTTTCTCAGCCACATTTCAGAAGTGATTTGCCATTGCCTCCTTCCCATGGCGGAGAGAGAGAGCAACTGGCTCAGGGTCACCCAGTGACCTTTGCTGACTAAGGCTGGACTAGAATTCACAGTCTCCCAGTTTCTAGCCTGGAGCCTTAAATGCTACGCCAACTATTGCAGTTTCTTAGAATGCATCCTAATAACATGGATGTGTGTTTTGAGATAAGCAAGGGATAGAGGGGAAAAGGAAATAAGTTACATATTTAACATTAATCGCTGTACCTCTCCATACCTTTCTAACCAACCTTGCTTTCAAAATGTCCATACATTAATTTATGCATTGCCTTTTCATCTCGCCAGTCTCTTTTATGCCACCATGACCTTCTCAGTCTTCTCCTCCTTGATTCATTCATTCTTCTTTTATGCATCTGTTCTTAGGCTGTTTAGCATCAACCATCAACAGAAAAGGAAGAATCAGTCAAGAAACCGGCAGATTAGTGCTTGGCACAGTAGCCACAGAGACATTGGAAAAGATAGGATGTTTGCAATTGGTGTGAGTTCTGCGATTGGTGTGAGTTCAAGTAATGTGATACAGGTAATCCTCAATTTAGGACCAATTGCTTAGTGACTGTTGAAAGTTAAAACAGACCCCCCCCCCAAACTAATTATGACCTGGTTCTAAAATTCTGACGGCTGCCCACTCCACCCCCTGCAGTCACATGATCACATTTTGGGTGCTTAGCAACTGGTCCAGCTTTTTGCAGCGTCCCGCAGTCAGGTGACTATGATTTGTGACATTTTTGACGGACACCAATGTTTACTTCTAGTTTCCAGCAAAAACCATCCAGAGCGAACAATGGGTTCACTTAACAATCGCAGTGGTCGCTTTACAACCATGGCACTCACTTAACGACCACCACAAAACAGGTTATAAAATTGGGTTTGTCACTTGATGACCTGCTTTATGACCATCACAACTTATTGCCAGGCCCAATTATGGTCATAAGTTGAATATCTATATTTGATTTAATGTGAAATGTAAATTGAAACAAGGTTGCATGCAGAATTGAGGCTAGGGCATCCATAGTCGCTGTTGGAGTTTTAGACACTGCTGATCATTGGATGTACAAAATGGAGAAAATGTAGATTTCGACAAAAACAGTACATTTTTTTTTTTAAAAAAAAGAGGCTTATTATTACATTGGAGAAAAAATTTGATGTAACTGAATAACATGAACGTGGTCATAGCAACACTAAAATAGAACGAGATGCCTGAATCTATGGTAGAATTTTATTTTTTTATTTTGCTTTCTATAACTACACTGACTTTGTAAACCATAAATTTAAATTAAAAACATATTTGTTTTATCCTTCACTGTAATATTTTATTTATATGTGTATAAAATTTTATGTTTAAAATTTTTCATTGCCTATTTATGTCAAGCTGGAACTAATTACCATATTTTCCATAGAAGTGTCACTTGGTTATAGTACGGATTTGAATAATGTTACCATTTCATGGGTTTAATTATCTGCACTTACCAAGACCTGCCCTGTATTCAAATGCCATACCTTTATGCCTACAAAAACCAGAACTGTGAAAGCAAAGGTGACCTGTGACACTAAAGTTGGATTTTGGAGAAGCAGGATTGGAAAAGTGGTGACACTTGAACTTTAAGGGTTGGAGAAGACACCTGAGAATACCATGGTCAAAAAAAAAACCTGAATAATTGAACAAATCAACCCAGAATTTTCACTAGAAGCAGAAACAAGCAGGTTCAAATTATTCTATCTTCAGACCCATTATATGAAGACTTAGTTCACAGGAAAAAGCTCTAATGTTGGGAAAGGTGGAAGGAAAAAGAAGAAGAGGAGAATCAGAGCAAGGTGGATGGACTTGGTTACGATGCTGATGAGTGCATTATTAGAAGACCTGAAAGACCAGGTAAAGGATAGATTGTCATGGAGAAAATCTATGTGATTAAAAGTCAAAAATGCCTCATTGGCATAATACTTAATCTGTTCTGTAATTCAGTCCTTGCTCCTTCTCTTTATATGACCAAACAACCTCAACCTACTGTTTTTCACACTGCTCCCTCACTTTTGTATTCCACCCACATTAACTCAGCATCCATTCATTCTTGAGCTTATTTCTTACCACACGCATATCTTAAGTTTCCATTCCCACTGCATTCAACTTACTGTTACATTTCTCTAACTTTTATTTCTATATAACGGGGGGGGGGGGGGAGAAGGATACTTTATATAGTCATTTTCACTTTTTTCTATAAATATTCTTTCCATCAATCCATGTACTATCTTTCCACCAGCATCTGCATATCAAAATTTCTCCATTCAGTTCCCCATCTTTAGTAAAGATTGTCCCAAGTTACATAAATTATCACATCAATCATTGAGCAGCAGTAATTGGGACCAGGATTTCCATAGTAAGCAAGGCAATAGTAAAACATGACATTACAAAACCAGGTTGCTCAATGATGGCTGTTCTAGCAGTCTCTGATTACCATCATGAAGCGAATCACTGCTGGTTATTAAGCAGGAACCTCAGGTAAATGCAACTTCTGACTTTCTGTTGGCTTCCCCGTTGACTTTGCTTGTGGGGTACCAGGAGAAAAGGTGGCAAATTGGAATCGTGAACTTGAGATGCTGCAATGGTCAGAACACCAGGACAGTTGCCAAATGCTTGGATGACAATCATGTGATTGAAGGAGAACTGCAATGGCCAGAAACTCAAGTACTGGTCATAAGTATCATTCATGTTGCATTGTCATAAGTTTGAACAATCACAGAATGAGTGAGTGTTAAATGAGAACCACCTGCACTTATTTTTTCATCATTTATAACTTGTAATCATTCACTCCAGTTCACTCCATTTTCCTTATTAAAAATAGCTTTCTTGATTTTTGAAATATTTAGTTTCAAATCTATTCATTTTCTGCAAATCATTGGGGTTCTCGGTCAATAGCAGAACATCATCTACATTTAAAAGCACCTGCCCATGCATATTTGCAACACTATATCTTTAAACATCACTCTGCATTGATTGACAAAATATATCTGATAATTATGGGATGATGGCATATCCTCTTTTAATGTCATCTTTGTGTTGAATCATTTACAAAATATTTCATTTATTCTTGTGCATGCTTGACTTTCACCATGGCTTGCTCATCAAATTCAAAACCACCCTTCAACTGTATATTCACTGAAATATTCCTTAATTCAATCTTATTCACTTTCTCATACTCTTTAAATCAACAAACATACAAAACACCTTTTTTCTGACAGTTGAAGAGCAAAACTTTGGACTGCACATCATCTGCCTGATATACACTACATTGCACTTCCTTTTCAATTCTTGTGCCCTTTCTGTCCCTTTTTGAGGCAATTAACAAAATCTCCCATGTAGTTTTTGTATTTGCTTTTACCACTTTTCTCTTGGTTAAAAGAATACTAATGACATTCTTAGAATCATCAGGCACAAATGCAGTCTTTGCACATATGTGAGATATGATGCACCTTCTCTCTATTAATAGAACACAACCATATTTTAACATTTCTCCACTTGTAGTATACCTGCAGCCAACATTTATATAATATCTAAGACTTTATCCTTTTTTCCTTGGATACTAATATTTATTTTATTTGTTTCTATCCCATTGCTTGACAGATCGCTTTCATTCACGTACAAATGTTTAAAATTCTCCTTCCAGGCCTTTTTAGCTTCAGTCACATCCCAGATCACATCATCGCTTTTATTTTTCATTCCATTCACCCTGTTGAAAGCTTCTTGTTTAGCCCACTTCACTCACTTTTAGAACAGTTTTTCACTTCATCACTTGATTTTTCACTCTCTCCAAGGTACTGTGCACTGCAGAAGGACACACCCAGGAAAGTCACTTAATCAACCTCAGAGAAATAATGGAGAACAAAACATGGCATTTTGCTATATAGAGGTGTACCTTGTTAATTATGTCTCCTCGTGGCTGCTGGTTTTGCATTTGGATCTCTTAGCTGCTCTGGAATTCTGGAGCTCTTTTACTCTTGTAAATTCTTTCGTCTCCTTTCTCATCCTTGAGAATACTTAAAAGGTGTTCTTAAAATCTCTCCTCACCTTTTAATGTTGAAAGAAATTCTCCCTTTCCAGTGAAAGGAACACTGATTTAACACCCTTGGTAACTTCTCACAGCAAACACAGATATATTTTTTTTCTTTTGCAGATTTTTAAAGAGCAGTCTTCCCAACTGTGCTACAGCCTAGCTGTGCATGAAGTGTGTCAAAATAAATAAATGGTCAATCTTCCAAGCTTGAGTGATAACTGTAAGGCTATGAAGGACAATTTCATATTTCCTGTCAGTGAGCTACCTCATCAAAGGTGAAGATGAAAGGTTCATCAAGAAGAAGAACAGTATATTGCTTTCTCACCTTACATTCTTTCTCACAGTGACAGAATAAAAAACAAAAACCTCGTAAGACAAAACTGCTATGAAGGAAATAATAAAGATGCTGAAATCATACAGGGCTGGAAATTGTGTCATAAAAACATAGCTATTTTGACAAAAGTCTTCTGGATAATGTTAGCTTCTGTCAATATTTCACGGTCAGGGAAAGGAGAGGTATAGCCCTGCAATAACTGGAAGGACCTGAAGCCTTTCCCACTGGGATTAATAAATGAAAGAAAATAGCCCTTTGGTATTTAAAACCAAACCAAAGAAAAACAAAACACTTCTCTTATTAATCATACCGAACTGCCAAACTCCATTTGCTCACTCCTCGTCTTAAACTAACTAGCAGGGCAATGGAGTAGTTATGTCACTCAACAGCAAGCTTGTTTAATGGTGGCTTCCGCTTACATAAGCAGACAAAAGATTGCAGCGTAAGGCTCGTTTTTACTTTAGCCATTATAAATTTAACAGTTTGTTTTGATTTCATTATGATTTACTTCTTCACTTTCTAAGACTTTGCAACTACTACGGAAAGGCCATGTTATCTTCTGCTGTCCTTTGTGTTCTTGATTTCATACTTGGGGCTTTGCAAAAGGAAACCCCGACTTCTAAGGAATCTTATTTGGTTTGATGGGTGTCTAATAACATGCTAGAATACCAGCGATTAGAAGCTAGGAAGATACATTCAGCAATTCCCTCATTTGCTCAGGCCTCCCTCATCTTCTGCCTGAATGGAAACTGCACAATCTTCATTTGTTCCTGAAAGTAGGTCACTTGGGAAGCTACACTACTCTCCCCCCAACACACAACAGGACAAGACCCCGCCTGGCAAATCCTCTTGCTTGTCAGTTACTTCATTGTGAGGTCAAAAACATAATAAGCCAGCAAATTGAAGAAATCTGCCCTTGCCAGTTTGCTGGTGTTTCTGGCCTAGGCAGGACTCAGAGTTCAAGGCCAACGGGTGAGAGGAACCATGAGGCAGGAACACAGGAGTCTGGGGTAAGGTGGTCATTTTCCCACACTCAATTCCATAGCTAGGGACATCACCCTGACATCCTTGACCCATGCTGTGATAAGAGAAGCTATGTTTGGGTGCATGCTGTAGATCCTCTTACAGGAAAAA